TATATATATATATATATCAATGAACCGTGTCCATCTTCAAAAGGGGGTTCATTGTTTTCTTTTCCTTTTGAATGTTGTTTTCACTAAGTGGGGTATTGGGGGTTGATTGCTGGAATTTTAGGTCAACGGGTCTGTTCGAAGCCTGAATTTTTCAGGCTCGACGGGCAGGCCCATAAGGCCGCCCGTTCAAGCAAGTTTTCGGGCTCAGGCTGCCCAAGAATGCTTAGAATCGCCGAAGCCCGCCGTTGAAAGAAAGCCTCCGACCGTCGACCGCGCGGAATTTTTCTTGATTTTTTTCCCTCCGGCCCGAAATGCCTGAAGCCCGATCAACGGCTATTTTTTTTACCGTTGGTGCGACCCGACCCGCCGCCCGAAAAGTCTGACTTCAACGGCTCTCTTTTTTTTACTGTCACCCGATTTTCAGCCCGAACTTAACCGGCAGAGACAAAAAATGACCATTGGATCCGAATTTAGGGGGAAAAATCATTTTTTTAACCCAAAAATTTCCCTATAAATATTAAATACCCCTCATCCCCCACACATTTTTCTCACCCAAACTCTCTCAATCTCTCTCAATTTCTCTCAATCTCTCTCAATCTCTCAAATCTCTCACAATTTTTTCAAAAACTATCACAATATCCAAATGTGTGTTGAATGTTGATTTTAGTTTTTATATAATTTTAACACAAAATAACTTAATAATTATTTATATACAAATATAATTACTAAATAATATTATATTATATATAATATATATATACAATATTATAAAAATTAAAAAATATAATAAAAATATATTTTTTTTTTCGGGCCATTTGAGCGGACTCAGGCAGTCAAAACCAGGCCCGCAGCCCATCCATGGGCCTTCTTAGGCTCGGATGGACGGGTTCAAACGTCGGGCTCAAAATTATTTTTTTTTCAGGCGATCGCAGGCGGGACATCCAAAATTCCAGCACTAATTACAATTATTACTTTCGGGTCAAATGTAGGCTAGCTATTTCCTTGATTGCCTCTTAAACTTTTTCACACTTTAAAAGCTTCTTAGCAACAATTCTTTACATATATACAAGAGAGATTAATAAGTTGAAATACTTGAAGTACCACGGATATTAAACACGATAACTAATAGATATTAGATTATGAGTTCTATATAAGATCCATACTTAATTATTATATTTTGTTGAACACTGTTGGTGCCTTTTAGTATTGCTCTAATTAGTCTTTTGAGATGTTTTCATATGTTTCTTAAAGTTGTTTTCATTCAATTTTTTTTCTTTAATCGAGTTTGGTACAATGGTTTACATTACAAAACGTCAGCCGTACTTGCTTTTTTATTTTTTCCTCCTAAGAAAGTTTGTCTTTCTTTTATTTTCAGATTAAGTCCAAACGTTACACTAAATCCCATGTTTGGTTCCTGGCGTTCAAAACATTCCAAAATTAACTTTGTTATATTTTTGTGTGGCAAAATTAGTGCTTCCATGTTTGTAATAAAACTAAGGGTGCGTTTGGTAGTGTTTTTTAAAGTTCAAAATCACTTCTCTAACCATTAAAAATTAATAACGGTGTTTGGTACATACTATAAAAAGTAATTTTTAAAGAATTTTTAAAAAATCTATAGTCAAAATAAAAAACGGTCCAAAAGCAACTTTGACTTTTAAATTGTGTGGGAATCGGCATATTACAATTAATGATTATCAACAAAATTATATTAAATATTTAATTATTAATTACTAATTATATTATATATTAATTAAACATTAATAAATAGATATACTTAATAACTAATAAATAAATAGTAATTGTCAAAATTATGTTAATAAAATAATGTGTTTTAAATTGTGTTTTTAATTTTGTTAATAAAATAATAAATAATATATAAATTATTTATTTAGTTAAAGATTAATTGTCAAAATTAATTATATAACATATTAACAATAAAATAAGTAATAATAGGTTATTAAATAATTAATTAATAATTAATATATCAATCATATGTTATGTTAATTATAATCTATTAATTAGTAAATACAATATGTAATATTAATCAATAATAATTAATAATTGATAATTAGTAATTAATTATTATAAAAAGAATAATTACCAAAAATTGATAATGTGATATATCAAATAATAGATTATTAAATAAATATTAGTAATTAATTAATTAATTAATTAATTATGTAACTAAAAGTTATTAATTTAAGTAGTAAAATGAATATTAATAAATTATGTATATACTTATTTTTAATTATTTAGCATATTAATTTATTATATATCTAGTTTAATTACTAATGTTCTCATTAATGATAATTTATCCATTATTATTATATTATTAATTTTTATTTACTAAATAATTATTAATTATTAATTACTTTATATATGAATTTAAAATTATTAATTACGGTTATCTTAACTACCCACAACAATTCAACCTCACAATTTATCAAATGCTATTACACTGCTTTTGAAACCAGTTACACTTGTATAATTACAATTAACTAAATACTCAGTTATTTTTTATAACATATGTTTTTTCCTTCAGCACAACTAAAATCAAATTTTTTAAAATCTACAGCATTATCAAACTGGCCCTAAATATAAATAAAAGTTACGGTTAAAGCAACTACTGTCTTCGTAATATAACTGAACATAAATCAATGTAAAATTCAACCGTTGGAAAAGAAACAAATTTCAAGCCAACACATGTTTCCTAGTAACAGAATTGGGCCAGAAAAGACGATTGTAGCTAGTAAATCTAGTGTGTGTTTTGCTTCCACTAGCTCTTGTTGGGCATCTTTGTTCTGTCAAATAATAATCCGGTCATATATAGGAAATAATTTTGGGTTTAATAGATGATGATAAGAGAAGCTAGAGTTTTAAAAGGAAGAAAAGTAAGAAAGAAAAAAAGATGAATCAGTTTGAGTATCAAATGCAACCGTTGCATACATAAAAACAAGTAAAATTTTACAAATTAGATAGATACAAAAACAAGAAATATAATCCACCCATTCATTCCCCTTCTCTCCTCAACACAAAATCCGTCCTTTTTGCCTGATCAAACCTCCTCTCCTTTGTATTTGATGCCATAGCTGTAAGTTTTACCAAAACAAAATTTAACATAAAAACCAATAAGATTAATTTGCAGAAATCTCACAAAAAGAATAAACTAGTGCTTGGGATGGTAACCAATATATACTCGTAAAATTCCCCATAACGAACAAGAATAGCATTTATAATTATTTGCTAAGAAGAAGCTTAAACTAATCCAATCATATTCTCCTAAAAGAGTAATCCAATAAAAAGATTTTCTTTTCCATGCAAATTATGGAGACGTGGAACCATATATAGCATATAAACATAGCGCTGCACTGCCCAATTAGAAACTACAAAATCGAGTTCTTTAACACTTGTTGTAAAAAATAAAGATAAAAATATAATTGAGTTCTTAATCCTATCCCAGTTCGCATTTCAAAACTTCAACGAGAGAATAAATAATAGAATACAATAAAAACAAAATATTGTCCACAAGTCATACAAAAATGCAATATGCAAATAGGATATTGGTCCCCTATAGAACATTATTTTCCATCATAAAAATATTATACATGTTAAACCTATTGATTTTCCGGTTAAATAATAGATGAAGCCATAAACAATCGATTTATACTCTGCTCAATTAAGGAGCAAATTACTCATTTTATTAGTCTTCATGAGTCCAATTAATCCGTAATAGAGAGAGAGAGAGAGAGAGAGAGAGAGAGAGAGAGAGATCAAATAAACAAACCTTCTTAGACGTCCTTGGCAATGAGTTCACCAGTCACAAGCTCTCTGTAAGCAGCAACGGGCCAGATGAAGCCCCTGAAGACCAAGCTGAGAGCCAAAGGAACATCAATAATGATTTCCTTCTGGGTCGGCTTCTTCTCACCTCTAATGGCGATGAGGTAGCTCCTTCCGACCCACCCGATCCACCCGGCGATGTACAAGAAGAGCAATCCCGGCGTGATGAACTCTCCCCAGTGCCTCTGGTCGCCGCTGACGATCAAGTGAGGCAGCCCGTCAGACCCGCAGAGCAGGCCCGACTTCCCGTAGAAATCGAACCGGCGCTTTGTCTTCTCTATCGTCGCGTTTATGGCGAGCGCCGGGGCGCTGTCGGGGGCGTAGAGCTTCAGCGAGGACTCGAGTTTCTTTATCTGCTGCTTCTCCCGCTTGGCGAACTGCTTCGACTCCTTGCACGGAGTCAAGCCCGCGATGTCGGCGGCTGCGGGGAGAGGCGCCGAGAGGAGGATCGACGAGAGAGCGAGCGCCGCCGAGAACGCCTGCAGGTGCTGGTTAGTACTGGTCGTATTTTCAGGCTGCTGAGATGTGGAGGAGCAAACAATAGTCGAACGTTGTGAGGACTTCGGAGTAAATATTGAAGAATTAGCCAGCTTTGGCTTAAGAATTGAGAGGTTTGAAGGAATGGTGAGAGACATTTTTTGAATTTGGATTATTGATCTTCTGACTTCCTTCTTTCCTTCCTTCCTTCTTTCTTTCTTTCTTCTTTTTGTTTGTTAAGAGGAATTCAGGAGAGATAGTGGAGGAAGGGGAGTGTGGAGAACAGGTTTTTAGATTCTCTTGATGGAAAGATTGGTGGTGGTGGAGGGAAGAGAGAAGATGGTGGATAAGGTGGATGGTGGAAGGATGCTTAGTTGGATGGTTTTTATTGGTTGGGGCTTGTTTGGTCGTGGGATACTTGGATTTTCTCTTTATCTATCCTACAATTACTGCTTATGCTAAAAGCTTTGTGTGGATAAAGTGTCTCTTTATTTCATTTCTCTTTTTCCTTTTTTTTTTCTTTTGTTATTTTCATACGATCACATCTATTCAAATTAATAATATATATGTATATATAAGAGAGCACTGAAAAAGATACTAGCTAGTGACATTTTATTACATTTGGATGATTGATAAATGATAAATGATATTACCTATCTTACAAATTTTTTTTTTTTTTGAATCACATAATTAATATCATACAAATAATAATATAATTTCATCTCGAAATACATTAGAAGTTAATTCAAAGATATTACTACGTTTTTTCTTTTAATATTGAGATTATTGGTTTTTTTTCCTCTGGAGTTCTTGTTCTCCATTTATTTCCATCTCCCTCGTAATTCATTTTCTCTATTTCTCCTCTTGATTCTCTCTCTTTCTTCGATCTGTCTCAGTTTTACATCAATTTATATCAGAACGAAGTCATTTCCTTTGACCAAATTTATTTTTGTTCATTCTAAATACACTGCAAAAAAAAAAAAAAAAAAAAAAAAAAAAGAGTATGGAAACTTGAGTCTCGTTTATCATTTTTCCTATCGTTGAAGTTGTTGCAAGACTTATCATGCTAGTTAATTTGTCCGGATAGATGATCAACTTCACAAATTCAAAATTATTCTCAGTTTACGTGTATTTTTTATGAGAAAAAATATTATAACGAGCTACGAACAATAATTCAAATCATGACATGAATCCTCATATTAAACTCCTTGACATCGCGATACAACTAAGAGATGAATTCTGCGGATCACAAGGACCCCTGAAAATGCAAGAGGCTAATAAATAATGAATTGTTGGTCCTCAGATTGTACAACAACAAGATGAACCTCTTGAAGAAACTTTGTTGTCTATCTCGCTTCCAGATGATCTAAACTTTGCAGCCTATCTCGCCTACAGAAGAATTTCATGATTCTAAGGTTTCTCATGTAGGTGCCATAACCACCATAAGTCCACCAAGTTGTTCACATTAAAATAATATATTGTGAACAGTATTTCAATAAATTCGGCAATTGTGGATATCAAAACGCTCGAGTGTTCTTTATATTTTCTTTACACTGAAAATATCTCTACAATCAACAATGCAACACCTATGACTCATTTCTAGAATCCAATATTAAGACTGAAAGATTTCTTATTTTTTAGATTGTTACTTCACGATTTTTTCAAGTTTAAAACTCATAGAAGTCAAGTTTTTTCAACCTAAGAAGAATGATGTTGAATATTAAGATTATATAATTAATTTAAGTTTTATAATTACTTTTGGGATATATATTCTTTATTTTAATTTTAAATTAGGATCATATTTATTTTGTTGGATTATTTTTCGATTAATATAGTTTATTATCTTTTAGATCTGTATTATTTTCATTCACGCTATTATTAATGGATATTCAAATTATTGGGGTTTCTTCCACTGGAGATTCTTTTCCTCTAACTTCGTTCTATTTCTCCTCTTGATTCTCTCTTTTCTATCTAAATTTTATTTTTATTCTTCAATCAATTCTGATCCTACACCAGAATTACATCAATAACACTTATATTTCGATATTAACTATATGTGTATTATGAGAAGAGTGTTGCCGTTATTAAGACGTTGTTAAGCCATCGTTTTTCCCATTGAGAAGTCATACACTTACATGGTCTTAAGTCAGATAAGTTAAATACCGATTAATTTAAATTTAAATAAATTAGACTAATAAATTAAGACTCATTTAAAATGTATACTAGAATCATAATTTTTAATTCTGATATTTGAAATTTAAATTTTTTATAAGAGAAAAATATTATAACAAAATTAATAATTTGAGTTTGAATATATGAAATTAACGATCTTAAGTTTTGTTCATTTCACCAATTTAAGTTTTTAATTCTAATTTTACTACAGTTAAAAATTCTCACAAAAAATTATATTTAATTTTTTTTATAATAAAAAATTCTCATATAAAATTACATCTTAATTTAAATTGAAAACTCTACATAAACGCGAATCTGCAATAGTTATTTTCTACTATTTCCCTTATTCTAATTTAGTCGGTCGGGGATGTTTGTTTCCTATATCCGTCATTGATTCTGAATTATGTGTTGGATTTCTGTTGGATTTCTTTTCCTTAAGTTTCGGTAACCAACCGAAACAATCCTCTCAAAACGTGGTCCATTATATTTCCCACTTAAGGAACGTGATTGGTCACGTTCATCTCACGTTTATCTGCAGTTGTCCACCATTGCCCACGTTCGGTGCACGTCCGTGAAAAACTCTGTGATGGGCAGAGTCTATAAAAGAGGATAGAGCACATTAGTTTTGGGTCCCTAAGCCTGCTATCTCCATTCAGTCAGTATATACACCATCAAACGAGAGATTGAAGAGGTTTAGAAGAACCAAAACCCGAGTTTCTATTTTTTCACCGAGAGTTTCAATGGCCGGAGGTGTTTTTTCTCGTTCCGTTCATTTCAATTCCGCATTGATCTAATTGCCATTTAGGATCCTTATGAGCACGTTTAGATCATTTAGAAATTCTAACATTTGGTATCAGAGCCTTAGTTTGCCTCTGCCTTGTATCCTCTCGTTCTGCTCACGTGAAATGCCGTGAGAGAAAATTTTTTGGCAACTATTGATTTTGACGTTTTTGATGGAAACTAAGATTAGGAATCATTGGGTAATCGAATTCCTATCATTTCTAAGTTTTAAACATCAATTTTGGTCGTCAAAATCAAGAGAAAAAGTCGGGTTTTTTGTTCGGGTTGAAACCGGGTCGAAATGACCCGGCTGGAGGTTGAAGAAGGATCAACA